CGATAAACACCTGTGCACATCAACCTACACCTTTCTTGGAGATCCTCCTTATGCAACTATTTACGCCATGCAATCTGATGTAGCCGGAATATGTTACCCTCCCACACGTATGGTTCCTCTGAATTTGAGAGTCATTCTTACAACTGTTGATCGAGCAGTCGGCGAAAATCGCCGTGCCTTTAGTCAAAACAGAGCATTGCATCATTAACGTTTTCCTCAAACGCCAAGTAAAACAGTACGTCCGTGCGTCCGTCTGCTTGAGCCTGCAGTTTTCGCAGAGCATTTGTAGATTCCGTTATCAAAGAACTGAAGAAAGTAATGTTTGATGGTCGTGGCACGTAAGCCGACGGTAGACACGCACCGCAAAATTTAGTTATGGTCTGTCCAGCACCAGCGCAAATCTTGTCTTATCGAATGCAGTACACATCTGTGTGCGTGAGATGATCAGCATGGTTGACGGGTCTACCATGTAATCACATTTGATCAGACTCGTGTGCATCCTCTGATTTTGATCGCTGACACGCGTCATTTATTAGGTTGGAAACCCTTGTGCACCATTCGTCTGTGATTTAAATGGGTCGCCTATATCGGTTGAACAAGGAAACCGACAGAAGTGTGAACACAGAAATACTTTGTGGTGTCACTTTGTAGACAAAATAAGCTAACTGATAGTGCGACCAGCCAGAGGGTTAGAATCTCATTGATTGGTGAACCTGTTTGATTTACTTTTCAGAGCACCTCTCATACAGTTTGGAGTTATTTATCATTCACCTCTTATGTTGACATACCTTAACTAGTGTTCACATATCCAACATTTGATTTTTCCATATAAAGATTTATTTATCATCACTTTGGCTAACGGTGATGCCCAAATAATAGGTTGCGCAGTCTTGATCTTCAATTGGCAACTATTATCGTTAGCAACATCGTAATTCAGACTGGCTTTAATGATCACACATTTACCAATCTCTCTTCAGACCAGTGCCCTTTCACAAACACTGCAAGGGCACTCATGGCCTTTGTTCTTTAATGTGCCACAGGGCTAGGTCTTCTATATGCTACGACATCCTTTTGAGTTTCCAAATGTGCGTGTCCCGAGTTCTGGATAACTCAGAATGCAGTAAGAATCCAAAAGCCCCGCTTGCTCAGCATGCTGTAGTAAACCGCACGTGAACTTCAACAACTGGCACGGACTCTCAGCATATACTCGAGATGGATAAGTAGTTACAGAGCGAATTTCGTGGTCAGAAAGTCCGTGGTTCGAAGTCAACGTACGCATATTGACCGTTCCTGTCTAGGTTTGGATAACCCGACATTATCTCAGCCCTCCTGCTTCCTTCTTGTGGCATGGCGTTTAGAAATTGGAAGGGTGAACCAGATGAAAATTTTTTCCCGTCAGGATGCACCTACCAAGAATAGCTAACTTCAAAAGTGTGGCACTTCTTCACAAAGCTAGCAAACGTCCTAAATAAAATAAGCCTGAAACCCGTGAGAAAATAGTTTCTGCTGTTTGAATCAGAGTAAACATACTTCTAGTACAATCAATACCACGATTATTTTTGGTGAACCAGCCGTTATACTTGGAAATCTTTATGATAAACTGATGCGCGGGAACTGTAGGTAATACTTGACGATACTCTGAACTAAAGTCAATATTCTTCGTCGCCTAGAATTCTGATTTCGCTTCCACAGTAGGTGAAGTACCATCGTAATTTACACTTTGTCGACAGAAGTTGCCTGTCCATTGACCATTTTGCCTACAATGTCTCAGTCTGATGCAATCTACTTTGGATCAGGGATCTCCACTGGACGGATCTGGTATGTCATTTTGGTCCGTCCGGACAACTTCCATCTGGTATCAAAGGTGCGTTGGATGAAACATTCTGGGTGTTGAATAAAGGGGAGGAGAAAAATATACCTTCGAAAGCATAATTACTTCATTTTAGCTGTGGATCTAAATAAACAAGCAGCTAAAGAACCTTTTGGGAGGCTAAGTAGATCGTTCAACGGACTCACTGCCTTAGTCATCGGTATGTGTTTGTGTATGTTTGCGGATTGCCTCGAAGATTTCTAATGATCAGGTGAGCGGTGGTCACACTAGTCAAGTGTTTGTTTCAATTCGGGGGTCTAAGTGCTCATTTAATAAATTCACTTATTTTGCGATTCTCTTGCAACTTCCAATGCTTAGTCATGGGAATTAGTCAAAATTTCATGATGTGAAAAGGCTAACAGGTACAGAACAGCACATATCAAGATAGTTTGGAAAATGCCCAGAAAAGCTCATCGGACCAACATTCCTTGGAATCAGCGTTCATCATCAGCAATGGCTTAGGAGAAAAAAGTGCGCGCAATACGTGGGAAGTTTCGAAAGGGAACCACCCCCAAAGCACCGTATTGCTGCAACGCCCCCTGCATCAAAAAAGCATTCTGTGGAACACAGCAGCCTCCTACTGAAATCTATCAGGTATACACAATTTAAGAAGTTTGCCGACGATATTGATTCTTTTTTGCTGTTGGTTGCCTTCTGATCCATCACTGAGGTAAATTTCTGACAAATTTGTACGAATGAACTTCTTTTGGTTGTAATTCAGGGACAGTTTTGCTCTGAGTGATGGCTGCTGCTTTGGACATCTTTTGTCCAACATCCTTCCAGTCTGTTAGGATCATTTAGAGAATATCTCACTGACAGTTTTTCAGCAGAATGGGGAACATATCATTTTATCCGGTTGAGTGCTTGGTCACTTCATCTCTTTCATTTCCGGAGACATTCTTTGTTTATGTTACAAGAAGGTGTGCCTGAAGGGGAAGCACCTAGTTTCTTGATGGCTATGTCTGGACGTTATTAGAGCCTAATGTTCGACTCATGTGATTCGATTAACTTTATGCACCTTAAGTATCGATTTTGTGTATAATGACAGTTTTAGCTTCGTCTGGTTCAGTGCGTTCTTATCTGGCGAAGAATGCTTTGGATTCCGATTATATGACTACGGCACAACAGAATTCGGTCTCATTCCTTCAGAACTCTTGCGTAACGCTGCGCTTTTTGAAGGAATTATATGCACTTGGAGACATCCTGCCACTTAAGCGTCACTGTCAGATGTACGGAATGTCCAAAGCCTATCTAGGTTTCAGACAAAGGCGATTACTTAAGAGCAATTTTAATGTTCGAAGCAAAGCCACCAGAGATTAGATATATTCAGGCAGTCAAAAATGCATGTAACTGAGCTGGGAACCGTCTCTTTGGAAAACCTGTATAGAATGTCTTTCAGAAGTATTACAGGTGGCTTCATTCTTTCGGTTTTTAACAAAACGGGTAAATTTCGAATGCAAACTTCAGCCTCGCCGTGAATTCACCCATCCCGAAAAGTTGAAAACCACAGTAGATTTGTCAATGGTTGCTCATACTCAAGTAATATGTGATATGAACTGCGTAGCTGTTGAGTCAGAGTCGCTTCATCCCGTTTCACCTTAATATTGCCACAGTGCTGATAGTTGAGTGCTTAATAAATCCCCTTGTTTCTCTCCTCATTGAAGGATACCATGGAACTGTGGGGCCACGCCGCAGTCCTACACGGCTTTTAGTCAGCTGTGGATAAAACATTATTTTTCACTACTCCAACTATTAAATACTAAATATTATAAGCTTGCATTTCGGTCGTCCTATTTACGCAACTATTTATTTGGAGGAAACTACAGTGGACACCATAATACTGCATTCCCCCAAAGGTATACTAATAACTGAATCAACAATTGCAACTTTAGACAGAGTGTGCTTATGTGGTAACCACATTTCTTCGGAAGAGTGGTTAAACTTCGACTGATGTTAGACAGCGATTGGTTAGATGTATCAGCAGGCATTCACTCACCAAAAGCTTCCTAGCTAACTTTTCTCACCAGTTTTTGGTAGGCATGAACGCCAAATAAATTTGCACATTTTCTTATTCGCAACACCATATCATGAGTTGAATATCAGTGTCTCATCTGAAAGTATACCCTACTGTTTTGTGAGCGAATATAAATGGAGCCATGTAGTGTTTATCAAAAGGTCGACTGCGGTATATTAACAGGGCTTATTATGTCCATATTTCAAGAAAAATATGATATATAATATATATACTATATGATATAATATATAATTTCAGATATTTCCTGTGTATTTTTTCTCCCCCATTAGCGTCAACCATAAAAACAACTAATTTTGTTTTATTTATTGCAGGGCGATGCCTTTTAACGAAAGGAACTATTAGTTGCTTCTTTCCTCTGTCCAAAAATAATGGGTTTGCAGATAATTCAAAATAAGAGGGAGTGCAACAAATCTCATCACATCGCAGCAGAAGGTTATGGGTGCAGTATGTGACGAATAGTATGTTAATTCGTACTGAGTGGGAGATGGGATGGCGTTTTCGTAAGCTCAGCTAGTAAAGCATTGGTGCTATTGCCTTTTTGTTCACGAAGTTTGCACATGAGTACTCGTGATTCCTTATGCAACTGATGCACGGAACTGCAGGAACTTCTGCTTGAATTCTTACCTTTTCTCTGGAAATATTGTCAGTAAAAAAGGTGGATATACACGAAATTATTCGAAGCACAGTTTAAGGTGGAGGATAACAGCCTCAACATGAACGCGGGTAGAAACGCAGCCTTTTAACCGCAAGCTGCTTTCAACTAGAATTTTCTGGACATTAAGATCTTCACTGCATTTGGAGGTTTCTCTGCTGAACAATGCAACATATTTCATTCTTACCTTTTTGAAAAACTGACAGTGGTTACATTAACTGGCTGGAAGCCCATTGAAATGTCACAATAGGGTGTAGGTTTTAGTTCGATGCTCGCAATGCTATTCGGAGCATGATTTGTTTGTTTGTGTGTCAGGCTTCTTCACCGTATTTCCATTCATACTTGTTGATTTTTATTGCTGAATACGTTTTTGGTTAGTGTCATCCTTCTACCTTTATGTCAATGTAATTAATCGTACAAATTTACTCCACCTTTTCTTCCAGCCCTACTTGTGTATCGTTTGTTTCGTTCCGGACCCAAACGGCCTCTCAAGATTCTTCACGCTTTCCTTCTTCTAATGGCCCTGGTCTGCGCGGCTATAGGTGTGAGGGCCGTTTATGAGGTGCGCAAGGATAAGCCACCAAAGACTCTCTACAGTATTCACAGCTGGCTGGGCATTATCTTGTTCTTGGGTTTCGCATTGCAAGTAAGTCATACATTTGACGTCTACAATCGGCCTTCAGTGAGCAGTGAAAATGGTTTAGCCAGCAACCCAGAGATCGGGAGTGTGCTAGTGAGAGGGGAATCATGGTTTTGTTTATTACAGACTTCTCACTGCAATCCGTCCAATCCTGCTTCAATATTCGCAGTTTTCCTTTGTCGCTGAAGTTCACATGTTTTGAGTTTACTTGGTCTGCCAGAACAAATCTATCACGGCGTTCTGCGTGCGTTCATCATCATCATCATCAATGACAGCAACATCAGTGTTGGCACTGATGTGCAAGCTGAAGTGACCCTTAAGTTGCTGACGCAAGAAGGCACGCTTTTGTTTCGTCTGCTGATCTGTCCACTCCACAATCACGTGACTAAAACATGTGAACTCTATCTAAAACATTTTAAAGTGTTATTTGTCTTGGCAGTGGTGGTGAAAGCGAAATGCTTGAATCCATCATTCTCATTGACCCCATTGACTCAGCCAGAATTCAGAATTTCCGGCTCATTGGGAAGTTACCTATGCTTACATTGAAGAATTTGTCAAGAACCAGAAGCTGCTTTGGTTGGGACATGTGTTGCATATGCCTAACCATCATTTGTCGAAAAGAATGCAGTTTTTCATGCCAAATTCAATGTGCCGGAAGCAAAGAGGTGGCCTTGATTTGGCAGAGGAGTATGAAGGAGATCACGAAACGCTTGGGTGCTGTCGGTGCTACTCGCCTTCCAGGATGGGGACCGCGTGATCCTCACTGATCCTGGTTGGAAAGGCTGCAAAAGGTGGCTGCCAACCGATGGTGAGCCTGTTGTCAGTTTCTATCCAGATTGCCTGAATGAGTGTCTGGGCATGTACACACCTCGGAATGATTGTGTTAAGCCAGCTCTAAGTCCTTTCCCCATCCATCTTTATTTTTTTCTTCTTAACATAGCTTTCAAATAAATCGTGGTTGTAGAGCAGCGAAGCATCGGTGTTGAACAATGATGTCATACTGTCGATGATGATGGTGACTTTATAAAATACCGAAACTGACTCAGCTGGCCTCTCCGTATGAAGCCCTCAAAACAACCTTCTCCTTAGAATCCATGAATTGTAAAACCATTAAGTTTATATCACCATCCGATTAGTTATACCATGTATTTTTTGGGGTCATCGGTCAAAAGCCTGTGGGATTTGGGTGATGGAAAATACGTATTCAAACCCAGCTCCAACTTCGAGGACGTTTGAATGCGAAGACCTATTAATATTTAAAGCGCTCATTATTCGGTCTATTGCACTAAGTGGAAGTGGTGAATTTTATTTTGGTTACTCTTTGTAATTTCAGACAAATTAAGGTACTCCTCATTTCAGACCACTGAGAGCGTTATATAAGGATAAGCAAAACAGTGATGTAATGCTGCCGATGATGATGGTGATGGTTGGCAAAACATCTTACCGCCCTATAACTGGAGTTCGATCATGTTACTTCGGGTTAGTTCATCCTAGGAAACTTGAAGATTATTTACAGAGCAGTTGGGATGCGCATGGAAACGGCAACTACCAGTTAATCATCAGCTGGGGGAGATAACTCCATGGTGAAAAATACTTGAAACTGATTGGGTAGTCATCGCTTTCGAAAAAGCAAACTTTTTCGAGATCACTCCATATTGGGATTGTTACCTTTACTAGGTCACAGCGTCAATAGGGTAGACTGCATGAACACTTAGTCTAATTAAAGCTGGAAAAGCTGTAAAGCCCGAATTCATGGACTTGGCTTTCATGAATTTCAAGGTCTGCGAAAGAGAATAATTCGTCTATAAAACTATTCTGGCGTTTAAGTGTTGGCAAACATGTTCAGGGCTTTTCATACATGCTGCGTATCGGGCTTCATATGGATACCTATTCGTTCGTTATGCCTTCGCCAACTGGACCCTAGGGTGTGATAAGTAGTAAGTAGTTAACTTGTTGCTTTTGATGGGTAATAACGAAGGAGTTATTTGACTGACATATCGACTGAAGTTAACTGATAACATAATGTTCAGTTAGACCACTAATCTTACACTACCCGAATTTTCGGTGGTGAACTTAAAATTATATGGTGTGAGAGCACAAGGTTAGCACACAAGTTTAGAGATCGGGAACCGCAGATGCGAACTTAGGTCACCAGCCAGTCAGAAAGGGCGACAACTCATCAAACTGGTTATGCTCCATTGAATTTCACAAATGATCGCTTCTGAAGGAGTTGATGCGTATCGCCTTCACGAGTGCATCTGGTGGGCCAAGCTTCTTTTATCTTCCCGCCAACTGTGAAGTGGTAAGTCGCCCATAGTGAGAACGACATTGACTGCCGAACAACTCGGCCTCAGTAAGCATGGATTTACAGTGCAACTGAGTTGGCGCTAACGTGTACCGTAGGTTAGCCATACGTCGTGGCTTATTACTCCACGAGTATGAAGCACTTTCGGAGATTTTGGCAGCCGATATGTATTCAAGGCCTGTTCAGTGCATGGTAGTCTGTCATTGTGGACGTATTGTCTTGCCGTTTTTATAGTTATAATGTTTCAGCCCAAAGCTTTCAAAGTTAATCTTTCCGGCGAAGTGATTATTTTGATATGTAGTTTTAACTTTTGCTTTCCCTTCCGTGTTGTCGACCCCTCATCTTAAAGTTTTGCTAGTGGCGGTATGCTCACAATGGGGGCAGTTTTCTGTAACTTCATTTGTGTGGCGATTACGGGTGTTGGTTTTTTTGTTCACTTCACCGAGCATTGATCGCAATGCTTTGATGACAGAAGGCTTGCGTCAAAGTTGTCAAGCTCAGCTAACAGTACAACGACCAACTACACTACCAAAACCATCAGCATTTCCTTTTGTATAAAAATGCTTGCTGAGATTTCCAAGTATGTAGGCATGCTCTCAGATGCAAGCACAATTGTAGACAAATTTTTTGTCACCCAACCTCGATCGTCCGGCAAGAAGCAATACGGATTTTCGGGCTTTAAAGAGACGCTTCGATGAAATTACCTTCGAAGTGACGCTCAAAAGACCCCTTGTAGATACTAGTCACAGATAAATGTAGATTAAGATAACTCATAACTATGAACATTAGGCAACGTACGGAGTTTGAACAACATGAAGGACGGACACAGATTAGCAATGTGTACCAAAATGTAAAGGTATACTGAAAAAAATTACCCCATATAACGAAAAAGTGTAAATTGTAGACATTATATCCTCACTTTGTAAAATGAGGACGATTTGCTGGTCAAAAGGCAGCTTAGACGTTATGGATGCGGCTGACAAAAGTTACCTGGCTAACCTAGACGCATATTAAAAGCATTTGTGGTACTGTCGAGTTTATGACAAAGAATTCGGCAAGCTCAAGAGGTATTCAGTTGAGCTAAGTTCAAGCCGAAATTATAATGCGGTTAAGACTGAACTAAGCTTGGCCCTTTATGAGTAGGGTTGGGTATTCGAAGCAGCCGTTCAACTTTTATGGAACTTTTACAGGATTCGAGAAAATGTGCGCATTATCTTGGATCTCAAGGATCATTATTTTGAAATATACATATGTATATGTATATATTCTTTCATTGGGGGTCAGTATTTTCTCAGGTCGTTCTTTCTGCTACGACTAGTTCCATTAAGGCAAGAATCTTAAAAATTGCTGACAACTAATCCCTTTCATCCTTACCGGAGGCACTCCTAGGTATGCTAAAGCATCCTAAGATATTTTAGGCTCATCATTTTGCGTGCTTCTGCTTCCTCAGACTGTGACGAAAATTCCGATTAAGGAATTCAAATTACCGACCATGTGCACAAGGTCCAAAGAACGGGACTCTTAACTCTAAACCTAGCTTCCCTGTTTACCTGTTTATTCGCCGGCATTGATAATAAGATTGCAGGCGGTCTATCGGCAATCGAGGTAGCTTATTTGCCATTTTGAGGATATCACATCGACTGACAGTGAAAAGTTTTCACTCCATTTAGCAAAGTCAACTAGTAAGCCAAAAATCAGATAAAGCAGTCGGCTACCCACATTCTACAATATTGTATAATTTTTGTTACTTACACCGTACAGTTATGTTCATGGTGGACATGGTAAAAACCCCTGGGCAAACTCTATCGATCTGGATGAACAGTCATTGGAATAACCTTTAGGAGTGTCATAAGTCTCACTCGGAAATTGCAGTTGATTGGAGGGTCCAACAGCGTTCCACAGGAGTTTGGCATAGTATACCATTCAGCCGCATTCAGAATGGGAGAAATTGTCTGAGAACGTCCATGTTTTGTTTGCGTTTGTTCAGCGAAAGCAATTGAAAGTGGATGGAGTTGCGCAAGACTGCAGCAGCTTTACAGGTTTTGTTGAGTTCTGTTCGTTCACACTAAATGTACTAATGAAAAAATGTTGCGCCGTCAGAATTACTTCTATCTGGTATTCATCCGACCGAAGAAGGAATGATACGGAGCCGTAAATTTAATGTACGTTTTTGTGGCACTCTTAGATGCACATATAGTGCTTCTGTACGCTTCTTTCATTGTTGCGTGAAAGGATGCCAGACAGAATAAGTACGAGGCAGTGTTTGGAGCTCAGTGCAAAAATCTCCTAGGGAGGTCATGAACGGCAAGTCGATTAGGTCCAGAAGCTCACTCTCACAATAACGAAAGGCAGTATCACGATTAGAAGCAAAAAAGACAGGCTGAAAATATGCCAGTGTAGGAAAGTCAGTGAACAAAGTACTCAGTGTGCTTTGACGAGTCACATACGTGAAGTTGGCTGATGACCATTTCGTCAAAACTACGAATATCAAAGTGAATAAAGACTGAATAGCAGAACAGATATGTCTAGATATATTCACTTCCGTGGGTATTGATGACCTAACTGCTCCAGAGTAGATTAGAATTGAAATCGATTTTACTTCAGAGAAAGTACTCATCGTGAAAGAGGCAAACCATCCTCTATAGACAGTTAAAATACTTCAGTCAACTTCGGACAGCTGAGCGGTATTCAGTTTGGGGAAAACGCGAAAACCACTTTACAGAGGTCTAATAAATTAACCGTAAAATATACACTGCAGTGCAATGCAGTATGGATTGAGCTGCTCGAGTGTAAAACCTGCCTTTGACAGGCAAAGTGACGTCACGTCGACTCCATAGGTGTCGGAGGTGGGCAAAAGTTACCCCGGCATCCCCGATTCGAGAAGTAATCCCATATTTAGTCAGTTTGAGGGAACATAACTGCCCAGGTAAACAAATTTCTCTGCCACGTTGACTGGCTCGTCGGCAAGCATGAGGTTTGGGTTTATTCCCACCCATTCTTGTGGGAGCAATTTGCATTTTGCAAGATCAAAGCACATGGGAGACTGTGCAGCAGAGTTACGTAAAAATATAATGGGGGGACAGATTGGACTGTGATTTATGTGCATTTTACCCCAATGAATACTAGCGGCAAATGATGAAGCGGTCTAGAGGACAATCCAGGTTGCCAGTTTCTCTGGACAGCTACCGGCAATACTATCCGACCACAGCGTTGCCATTTCTTTTTTGACTTTATTCACTAACTGAAAAACCATCGATCGCACGTTAGATCCATTTAACTGGTCCCGTTTGGGTTTGCCGGCGTGGACCACTTAAAAGGGAGCTTTCAGATTTACCTTAGTTACACCCTCAAAATTCTGAGCTTCACTGTATATCTGGGTATGAAGAAAGTCTGTTTTTTAATTCACCCATGATGAAGCACCTATCAATCATCAAGATTTTTGATTGCAACAAAATGGTTGAACATCCAACATAGAGATCAATAGCGCATACGAATCTAACGTTTTATCTGTTTGGAGATGATCGCCCGTATGTATGTGGTTATGACATTGAAATTTACTCGGGTGAACCGAGAAAAAATTGGTTTTTTGAATAGATGTCCTCAGGGGGGCAGAAGTGACGTATGATCTGAAATTTCTAAGGGAAATACGCAACTCTCATATGGTTTATAGGATTTCGTCTTCGACAAACCAACTATATGTGGATATTTTATGACAAAAGTTTCATAATTTAGTCCATGTCTTGATTGAAAATAAAGAAATTGGATCTCGTTTTATCCCTTTTCTTCAAAATCCAGTCGTGATTTATGACAAACTTAAGTTTTTGCACTAAATCCTTACGAAGAGGTTTGTTCACATTTTTTAATCACAAGCCAAGAAACTTTGCTTGGTAGGCTCTTCGTAAAACTGGCTGACAACTTTCTTGCTTTTACCCCACAGTGGCTGTTTGGATTCATCTTATTTCTCTTTCCCAAAACACCGATGTATTCTCGGAAAATTTACCTACCATTCCATACGGGATTCGGTTTGTTTCTCCACTGTCTTGCCGTGTTGGTAGCTCTTTGTGGAATAACGGAAAATAACATGTTTTCCGGAAGGTAAGTTATTTGACACTCTACTGAACGGTGGCCAAGGACAAATAAATGTGCTTTTCTCCGACACATTGTTCGAACATAGTTTTATGGAAGTTAACTTAGATGAGAGGTTGTTGATATGTCTCTTTCATAATATCATCAGCAAGTTTCCGAATCTAATTGAACGTCATCCGAAATCACCGACAGTTTTTCCAGTTGTAATAGTAACTTAGAGAATATCGAGTGCCAAACAGACCACTTTTCACTGAGTTTAAAATGCATTCGTATTAAACAGATGTTCAATTTAATAATCACAACTACATGGAATCCTCATGGTGCATAGTATATAACATACAGTATGAATAACATGTAGTACCTTTGCACTCCCTGACCAGCCAGCTACTGGGAACGAACCATGCTTACAGACATGGCTCGAAGTCGCTCCTTAATTATCAAATGTAAACATATCATTCATTTGCATATGTTCCCTCAAGCGAAAGTCGCTCCTTATCAAATGTAAACATATCATTCATTTGCATATGTTCCCTCAAGCGACACCGAGCTCCCGGTCCGGATGACCTTCCACCCGCCCGGTTCAAAGACGGGGGTGAAGTCCTCAGTCAGCGCTTGTCCGATCTGTTTGCTTGCATTTGGGAAAAGGAGTCTATCCCAGACAACTGGGGAGAATTGGTGATAGTGCCCATTTTCAAAAAAGGGGCGCGTAGTGAGTGTGGTAACCACAGGGGGATCAGCCTGACCCCGGTTGTAACGAGACTGTTTGCGTCAATTGTGCTTCATCGCCTAACGGTGGCTCGTGAGATACTGACTCGAGAGCAGCAAGCGGGATTCCGGCTTGGTAGGTGTTGTGTTGACCAAATATTCACACTGCGTCAGGTGCTAGAACAACGCCATACGTATAAGCGACCCACAATTCTAGTATTCCTGGATTTCCGAGGCGCATTCGACTCGTTTGACCGGTCTGTTCTTGTTCAGACGCTTGCCCACCAAGGAATGCCCCGGAAGTTTGTAAACATAATACGTTCTTTGTATTCTCAGACTTCCGGACGTGTGAGAGTGTACGGAGAGCTCTCCAAAAGTTTCCGTACACAAAGCGGTGTCCGTCA